TTAACATCTATAAGAGTTTTTTAAAATTTATTTTAATATACAAAGTTCAATTAGGACTCAATATTTTTTATTTTTTTTAAAAATTGTATAGTAGATCAATTTATAGTTCAAATGAGCTTTATAATTTATAAATGAAAGTTTTTAAGAGAGGCAAGCTTTTAATACAAATATCAAGCACTATTAAACTTATATATTTTCAAAATATGCTTTCTTATGAGACTATTGCCCTTTTAATTTGTAAGGAAATTAAGAATCTCATAACACCTCACTATCACTAGTTACAAATGAAGATGAGTTGAAGACGTTTTAAGATTATATGATTAACTGAACAACACAAAAGACAAAATCTGAAATATGCATGCATTAAATATGCAACCAATTTACTATGATCTAAAATAATCCTTGCTGTGTTGTGGTAGAATAACACAAATGAATGTCCTGAATCTCCGTATTTAATTACAATAGTAAAGTTGTTTTGGGGACATGAATTGCCAGGATCAAAGAGAAAATTAGAATATGAAGACGAGAATAAAAGCCATACAAACTGAAAAGAAATTTCGCGCAGTTAGCATAAAGTGACAAAATTTTCGCAGCGCCTATCGCGAGATGAGAAAAATAAAGAGAATCAAATGTTTTTATTCCAAGGAGTAACAGCATGAGCAGTAGAAAATAAAAAAGCTTTTTTAAATTACATTCAATACACTGCTCCTTCATTTATCTTTTCTACAAGTTTTTTTCTTTTTTTAATATATCGTCTTTCTTTATACATTCTGTACACACGTAACTGTCATTTTTCTATCTGAATTTTTGTTGCAATTACTGATTGAAATCAAGTCTTAATTTCATAAAAATTAAGCAATATTTGCCCATCATCTTCAACTTTCCATAAATATTACCATTTAAATCACAAACATCTCATGTTATTTTCTTTGCGACCATTATTTATAACAAAAAACTTTTTCAAATTAGAAGCAAAACAGGCAAATAAAGAAAATGAAATAGGTGTTAAAAATTGTGTAGACAAGAAAAAGCTTTCATTGTGCTGGGAGTTAGAATGGGTTCTTAAAAATGATTCTTACTTGCAGTTTTATACAGGGAAAGATGTATTCAAATACACCAGCCAATTATTTAACTAATTAAATTTCAGATAAGCGAAATTTCAGTCAAATTAAGGACATTCCATGAAAATAAAAATCACTTATAGGTGTTTTCACTTCTTTCTGCATCAAAAGGGGGGGGATAGAGGTACAGAAAGAAGAGGTGATGTTTAAAAATAAACTTGAGCTTTTCATCTTTGTATAACATTTTATAGCAGCATTTTAAATTATTGTTTCATGATAACAAACAAACAAAAAAACAAAAACAAACAAACAAAAACAAACAAACAAAAAAGCCCAAGTTATAACAGTAAGTGTAGAAAGAAGCTTTGACAAGAGTTTCTCTCTACAATATTTTTTTTATAAGTCAGCCTATAAATGTGCAACCAGACAAACTTTCTTTTTTCTGTAAAGGAACCAGTGTGTATGTGTGCGTACATCTGCATGTATTTTACAAGTGAATAGTTGGCTCATTTACCCGTAATATGGGTAAAGCTGATAAAACAGTTCAAGTTCAGGTAAGTGGAGCTCTTTAGATAGAAATGGCACCTACCCAATATACCCCTAAGGCAATATACCCCTAAGGAAAAAAAAAAAAAATTTTTTCAGTGTGAAGAAAAACATTGGAAACTCCCTAATGAACTAACCTAACTGGTCAGCTAAAACAGCTTAAAAAACAAAAATTATCAACATGTGGAAACAAACTATGCAGTAACAAGTAGCAAGGTTTACATCCACAGTTTAACCCATCAGTAGATTTTTTTTTTTTTTTTTTTAACTATTTTGATTCTAAATTCCCTTACTTTGAATTAAGGGTTTATAACTAACCAAGCAAAGACATCCATAAACCATTTGAATGTAAAAACCTGCACAATGAACAAAGATGCTTAAGTGAATAAAATTAGATAACAGAAATTTTCTTATTTGTAAAAGAAAATTTATATCAATGGAGGATTATTTTCAGGCTTCATGCAATTTAAATACAATTACTCTTGGAATAAGATCTTACTTCCTCAAGTTAAATATATCTAAGGTGTATGATATCAATTAGAAACTTGTACTCTTTATTTGCTTATGATTTCATTTAAAGGATCAAATTTGTTTAGCATTAATAACCTGGCCCACAATTAATCTTAATGGTCACTTAAATGGAGTTCAACAGTAAGGAAATTTATAGCCACAAAAATTATAAACAGAACAAAATTTGAACCTCATTGGCTTAGAGTAATAAGCTTATTTCATTTTTCATAACCTTCAATTTATCCCTTATACACTAAAATGTTGAGTTCAATAACTGAGAAATTTCAATGTTTTATAATAGAAGTTAATCACATTTAATTACAAGCCACTTGTAATAAGAATATGAGTTTCAATGTGTAATTTCAAATTTGTCCCCTCTGATTTCATGGCATGAGTAGCAGTACCAAGCACTGGTAGAAACATGAAATCAGAAGCATGACGATTGATTCAATAACAATCTGATATTTCATATTAGTTATGGCTAACTTTGATCATTAACAAATTTCAAAAGTGAGATAAGTGTGCTCTAGCATGAGATATAACAATTTAAGTTTTATGAAGGATTTCCTATCAAAAATAGCCTTATATCATGTAAACATATGAAAAGTGTTTTAAATAGACTACTCTAAAGTGATAAGTTCAAGTTAAATATTACATGTGGAAATACAGATTTGTTACAAGGAAAAGCTGCTTAAACCATTTGTGCAAGAACAGAATCACCTTTTTAAACCAGATCTGTCCTTTTCATGCAAGTCTGTTTAAAAGGAACAACTGCTTATAGGAATCAAAATGTGGTCCCAATGTGTTCCGCTTAAGCAGAATACACTATTTTGTCAGTGATGGTAGTTCTTAAACCATGCTGCAAAAATACAAATACAAAAACTACTTTGCACTGACAAAATTCTTTTTTTTTTTTTACTAATTTTACTTATACCTATACTAAAATTGCATTTTTGAAACAAAATACAGAATTTTTTTAAGTTATATAATTTAAGATATTAGAATTTAATTATATTCAATTTTGATAATTCAAAGTATTAAAATAAATGTTGAAAGTTGTTCTTTTAAAACTAAAATAAATCCAAATAATTTAATTTTACTGAGGTGTGGAGATAGAGGAAATCTCAGTAAAGGTTTTATATTGAAAGAATTCTCTTCCATCCTAAGTTACTATTTCTATTACAAATAGTAGAAAACTATTTGATAATAGAAAGATTGTTGAAGGAAAATACATAAATGAGAATCGGGATAGAGTTAAAAAAAATAAATAAAAAAAAATAAACACACACACATTTTTAAATATTTAGAAAATTCCTCAGTGATCTACAGATGAGGCTCATAAAAATTGTCAAAGCGACATGTGTAAAATAAAGACAAAAGAAGCAGTGCAGTATCTATTGGCAAGTTATTTGTCAAATGTGCCTTTATATATCAGTAACATATACTTGAAAATATTTTGTAAAGGAAATTGATACTAAAAATACACAAAGTAAATCCACAACTAAATATTCAGGTTTCAGTAAAAATACATCAACTGAAGCTTCTATGGAGGGGGGGAAAGAAAGAAAGAGAGAGAGAGAGAGAAATATATTTGTCTTGATTGAATGGTCAAGAATATTGCTTCTAGCTAATCTGTTTGGAAATGGACGATTGTTTACTTAAGCTTAAGAGAAGAAAGAAAGTGATAAACTATCGAGAAGCAAAGAACTTAAGAGAAATAAAATAATCACCACCCCCTTTGAAAAAGAAACCGGTAATTAATAAGTCAAAATTAAGCTATCAAAAAAACAATAGTTTTAAATAAGTTATTAGTGAACAAGTTTAGTAACTTTTAAAAGAATTTTTCTTTGAAAATAAAATAAACTTACATGTAGATAATTAAGGCATCAAACTATCCTTCATTTTGAAATAGCAACATTATTTTTGATTCTAAAATAATCAGTACATTGTATTTTTTCTTGTTTTGTTACACTTCTATTCATTACTTAATGTTAGTAGATGATACCAAACACATCCCCATTTTTAAAAGAGAATTCATCAACAATGAAAGAAGAGAGAGACATATCAAAGGGACATGTTAAATTAGTTAAACCTGATCCATTTACACCCAATTAATTAATTTCTACATATGAGTGAAGTAGAGGGACTGGCAGCAAAGTAATTTAAGGCTGAATTTTAAAATTATGAATATGTCAGTACAAAACTAAACTGAAACACATTTATGGAAAAAGGCCTTTTAATATTCACTCGGATATTATATGCTTATCAGTGGATGCAAGCCTAATGGAGGCGTGGGGAGAAAACAATTCAATGAGATTAAAGAACTCAACTGCAAGTCTTCCAAATCTGTGGAACAATCTCAATTTTTTTTTTTTTTTTAAAAAAAAAAAAAAAAAAAAAAAAAATTTATGTTAAAATAAAAGTTGGGATGAGGGGCAAAACAATGTTATGTACCAAGTTTTAAAGCAAACAGGCTTATTGGAATCAAAAAGCTATTTATGGATTATATGGATAATGACAAAAGAATATTTATCTGATATAAACTGGATTAATCAGAGCAGAAAGTCTAAACATAAATGATTATCTAGAATAATAAAGATGTGTGCATGTGAGTGTGAAAAAGTTTGCCTGAAAACCTAATGAATCTGCTGTACATTAGAAACTTTTAGCATTATGGCTAACATAAATAAACACCTATTTGGTAGCATTTTTAAAGATTGCTCAGAAAAATATATATTAAAAAACAGAAAATTTACCTGCACAAAATTTTTTCCCTCTTATTAATTTTAAAAGGTTCTTATATTTTTTAAATCTATATTTTTACCTATATACCCAAGTAAAAAAAAATAATTAAAAAAAAGTTGAAATATATTTTTTTTAACTTTACAAAATAGAGAGAGAGAGAGAGAGAGATAGAGAGAGAGATAGATAGAGAGAGAGATAGATAGAGAGAGAGAGATAGAGAGAGAGAGATAGATAGATAGATAGATAGAGAGATAGAGAGAGAGAGATAGATAGATAGATAGATAGAGATAGAGAGAGAGAGAGAGAGAGAGATAGAGAGAGAGAAAAAAAAATCTAGATTTTGAAAAACAAAGTTGATTCCCCCCCACCGCTGTTTTGAAAAGATTATCTTCAGAATATATTGAAATACCATTTTTTTTCTGTTCATCATTGTCTTTGGAGATGCTCATTAAAAGTTTTGTAATCATGTTTTAATATCACATTATCATCCTTAGATCAAGGCCCACTTTTTTCTCCAGTGAATGATACATACTTTAGGGCATCAAACAGTTCATGGAGAGAGAAAAAAAAAAAAAAAAAAAAAAAAAAACAAGAGGAAAATAAATTTTCTTGAAAATTTAAATCAACAAAGAAAGAAAAGAAAAATTATAATACATTTACAATTATATTTTATCCATGTGTGTACGCAATATTTTTTTTAAACATATCTAAAAAAGAAAAAAAAAAAAAAAAAAAAAAAAATTAAAAAATAGTAATGTCTTTGCCATCCCATTTTCATTGTGTTTACCCTCCCTCAGTTCATAAGAAAAAAAAATTCAAACAGAACACAGTGCTGCTGTTTATGTCTAACTCATGGAACAACAAGTTAGCAAGCAAAACAGGTTTTTTTTGTTTTTTTTTTTAATTTAATTTAATTTTTTGTAGTATAGTTATCATCAAAAAGAGGATGGAGTAGGAAGCTGAAGAAGAAAGAGGGTAGGTTTGTAAATCAGAAAGCAGTGTCATCATCAAGTTGGCAGTAGTTGGTATTATACAGCAGCAATATGTATTGCTGTGTCTGCTCAACTCTTCATGGATGGTTGTGAAGTTGGTGGCATCTTGTGTAGAAGTGTCTTTTGTCTTTGTTGCTGCCCTCATCATCCTCATCGACTGAGGCTGTGTGATCGAGCACGCTGCTCAGAGTAACATTTTTTAAAAAACTGATGCTGCAGAGCATCTTTTAGTGTTATTCGCTCAGAAGGTTCATATTGCAGCATTTCCACAATCAGATCAAACAAGAGGGTGTGCTCTTCACAATCGGGCTCCATTATGTACCGCTGAAAAATAAAAAGAAAAAACTTGCTTACTTTTCTAGTTTCATAAATTTCAAAGGGGGAGGGAGAATTATCACACTACACCACTTAAAGGTGTATAATTATTTTTTTTTGAAAAGTGATGCTTATTCTTTTTAAAATGAAATATTTATTACCTTCTATAAGACAAATATAAATAATAATAAAAAAAAAAAAAAAAAAGTTGGTTTCAATTTAAAATTGTATAATCTATAAAAGTTACAATGTACATGCAAATACACATCTACTCGTAACATCCAACAGTATACTGCCAACAACCTAATATTATCAGAGTTATTCATTAGAACTGTTATGGCCTTTCAAATTCTATTACCAAGTCATTTACTAATTCTACTGAATTTAGTAAGATTTATTTGTAGGTGTCTACGAGCGCCACCGATGTGGACCACGATGACCGTGGCCGCCCCTAGTGACAACAACACCCGCTATGGCAGGCTCCAGTGGAACGAAAAGAGACGCCTTTCGTATAATTTTACTAATTTGTGTATGATAGCAACACACGGCTAAGCCTCTTCAAGTGGAAGATTTGCTCATTTAGAAAAAATAAATACTCACATTTAAATGATAGATCTAAAATGCAAACAATTCAAACTTTTTTTGTAGTTAATAATGTAACAATGATAATCAAATTAAAAGGCAGCATTTATTGATTTTTGTAAGGTTTGCAAAACATCTAAAGTTCTAAATACACTCCTAATAAAAATGAATAAGTAAAAGTAAAAACCAAACAAAATGGGTTTCCAAACAAAACACCATTAAATTGAACAGTTCTCACTAATATTGCAGATATTGTGTACATTTCAAAATTCAATGCTTACTTTAAGATCAATGAACGTAAGTTTTGCTTTTTCTTTTTTAAAGCCTTCAGTGCAAAAATCTGAAGATCAAAATCGATCTCTTTTCACGTTCTTTATGCAACATAGTATTTTCCACTTTTAACAGACAACAGTTACTGTTAAATTTTATTTAAACAAAAAAGTGTCATAAATAAAGTAAAAAAAAAAAAAAAAAAAATATATTAGGTCTTGAGTTAGTAAAATTAGAATAAAAGCTCTATCATGCAATTTGGAGAAGATAAAAAGAGACATCAGGGGCAAATAAGATTTAATTAATGGTAAGGCATATTCAGGTAGCCAAATTTAGGCATGGTTATGTTTGGCAGAGTAAATTGATCAGGACATTGATATCATTACTAAAGTCCCAACCCATCTCATTTTATTAAATTAAAATCATGTTTTTTGTGAATGTGTTTTTTTTTGTGAATGTATTTTTTTTTTAAATTAATATGGACAATAATTTGCAAAACATGAATTATGGATACTTTGGCATTTGAAATATTATAATGAAATATAGTCATTAAAAAGGTTTTAATTTTTTTCTATTTGTGCAAGCAAAGCATTTAGAAGATTTAAGGCATTTGCCAAGAAGTTTATGCCATTAAAACTACAAAGTTATGTAAAATTATTGACTTATTTGGAATGATATCTTCAATGTTTTGGCTGGTTAGATCTCCATCCCTTGCCAAAATGTATATCTCAAACTCTGTCCAGAAATTCTAAAAATGACTGCAAATTGCTAGTATTCAGTCAAATTTTTTTTATAGTCAGTCCATTTTTTTTTTTTTTTAATTGTTTATTTAAAAAAAAAAAAAAAAAAACGATATATGTTGAAAAAAAACAAAAAAAAAAAAAAAAAGCAGTTCTGGCCATCATGAAACCTTTGAGCAACCCTTTTTATTGTTTCTTGTCAGATGTGTGTGTGTGTGTGTGTGTGTGTGTGTGTGTGTGTGCGCGTGTGTGTAAAGCACTAGTTGCCAAACATTTTTGGAATAACTAAAAAAACATTTTTCAGATCTGAGTGTTCGTTAAGGATCATTTGTATCTAGCTTCTTTAAGACATTTATAGTTTTGGCACCAGTAAGTACTACTTGAGAATTACTGGTCAAGATGTGAATAGAAGATTTCTGTACTCGCCATAATTGGTTTAGTTTGAACAATTTTACGACTAATGTTGATTGATGACCCCCCCCCTACCATTTCTTACAATTTGTTTTGTTCATTCTGGAATCGTTTTTTTTGCTAGCCCCCTTTTCCATGCTTCACCATAAGCATCAGGATTGCTCAAAAATTTAAATTTGCAGAAAGTAGCTTTGCAGCATTGGGAGGAATCTAGAAGAAACATGATCACAGTTTAGAATGAAAGAAAGAAATAATTCTTCTGATACATGCATGTAATTTTTCATTATTTTCTTTTAGGGAGATTTTCAACATTAGAATTACAGAAAAGCAGCAAATTCCCAAACACTTTTATCAATGCCAAACACCAAGAAATAAAACACAAAATTCAACTCATTTAAGTGTCAACAATAAATTAAAACACTTTAGAAGAGGTAATTCTACAGTATGTTTATATGTACACTATAATCTTTTAAGCACAAAACAACTAATGAGAGAGAGAAAAAAAGAGAGAGAAAAAAAAGAGAGAGAGAAAAAAAAAAAAGAGAGAGAAAAAAAGAGAGAGAAGAAAAAAAAAAGAGAGAGAAAAAAGAGAGAGAGAAAAAAAAAGAGAGAGAAAAAAAAAAAAGAGAGAGAGAAAAAAAAAAGAGAAAAAAAAAAAGAGAGAGAAAGAGAGAGAGAGAGAAAAAAAGAGAGAGAGAAAAAAAGAGAGAGAAAAAAGAGAGAGAGAAAAAAGAGAGAGAAAAAGAGAGAGAGAAAAAAAGAGAGAGAGAAAAAAAAGAGAGAGAAAAAAAGAGAGAGAGAAAAAAAAGAGAGAGAAAAAAAAAGAGAGAGAAAAAAAAGAGAGAGAAAAAAGAGAGAGAGAAAAAAAAGAGAGAGAAAAAAAAGAGAGAGAAAAAAAAGAGAGAGAAAAAAAGAGAGAGAGAAAAAGAGAGAGAGAAAAAAAGAGAGAGAAAAGAGAGAGAGAGAAAAAGAGAGAGAGAGAAGAGAAAGAGAGAGAGAGAGAGAAAAGAGAGAGAGAGAGAAGAGAGAGAGAGAAGAAGAGAGAGAGAGAGAAGAGAAAAGAGAGAGAGAAAAAGAGAGAGAAAAAAAAGAGAGAGAGAAAAAAAGAGAGAGAAAAAGAGAGAGAAAAAGAGAGAGAAAAAGAGAGAGAGAAAAAAGAGAGAGAGAAAAAAGAGAGAGAGAAAAAAGAGAGAGAGAAAAAGAGAAAGCGAAAAAGAGAAAGCGAAAAAAAATCACTTTTGCATTATTTCTGGACAGAGCATAGTTTCAAGTACTTATTTAAAAACTCCCTTATGTTAAAATGTATAAAACTAGCTGATATATTTGGTGTCATAAAAAAAAAAAAATTGGAAAAAAAAAAATCTAATATTGTTCAGGTTTCAGATAATTAGTTAATTCTAGGAGAACTTTGTCCTGTTGAAAGCTTGGGAGTTAATCAACAGTAGCAACAGCAACATGAGGGTAAGAATGAATAAAAACCAGAGTTGTATTCTCAGACATTTAAACAAAAAAAAAAAAAAAATGTCAGATAAACAGCCCTCTTCTATATACGTTATTTGCTCCCTCAAATCTATTAAGTATAGATTTTAATATTGGCAAATGATACTAGTTATATATAAATCGATTACTTTCCGAGCACAAGTGTTGTTCTTTCATGAGAAATATGCATTTAAACTGAAATATCCTTACTAAATAATTAGCAGCAATTTAATTTTCCAATAGGTTTATTTTCAATTTTCATTTGTAAAATGCTTATTTTTGGCTTATAGAAAATTGAATGTAAAAATATAGTAAATTCACAGGAGTTTAGTTTTTAATATTAACTTAGATAAGAATGAATAATAAAAAATTTTATAAATGAAATCAGTAAATGTTCAGAAGTTGACCAATCAAATACCTACACAGATGAAAAAAATTAAATGTGTACATTTGTTAGAAATTGATAAATATATAATAATACAAGATCATGGAATGTAGGTTAGTGAAACATTTTTCAACTATTTTATATACATGCATTTCTATCTCATTAATTAAAAGAAAGAAAAAAGTATATAGTAAAATATTTCAGTGTACTTTGCCTTTACAAAATAATTATTCTATTACACATTTTATAAAACTTACTAAATAAAAAATGAATTTATAGGCGAGAACCCCCCCCACAAAAAAATACTGATATTTTTTAAACTGCAAATGAGAAAAAAAAATTTGGGAATTATTTAAATATAATAAAAAGCATATTCATTTTTTTTATTGTTTTTTTGTTTCATTTTTGTTGGCTGCTCTTAAGTAGGAGATAAACATTAAAAAATTTAAACAACAAAAGATTAAGAGAAATAAAAACAGCAGCAACAACAAGATGAACAATAACCACTAAACTCAAATGTGGTTAGAGAACAAGAAAGAAGAAAAAAAAAGGCAGGATGTTGTTATTGTTGTTTGCTGTTGTAAAATCAGCCTGCAGACTAATGTATTTAAAGAAAAAAAGAAGAAAAAAGGGGGAGGGGATCCATGCTGATCCAAAAAAGAAACATCATGCAACACTCAATGTTGGAGACAGTGATCACCTGGCAAGTAGTTGTAGTTGACATGGGATTTGCCTGGCCCTTCACTTTTCGTTTTCACATAGTCGCGGTCATCACTGTTTGAGGTGACCTCATATCCCTGGTAGCTTTTGCGGCGGTCAAGAAGAAGCTTGGGCTCCTTTTGATCAGATTGCCTACGTTCTAAATGTGGTTGCTCTTTAAGCAATGGCTTGAAGAAAGGATGTGAAAGGGATTCTGAGAGCGTGATTCTGGAAGAGGGTTCATATTCAAGCATCTTTTCTATGAGATCAAACAGCTGCAGGTGTTGTATCCCTTTGTCCCTTATATAGTGCTGGAAGGAAGAGGAGAGACGGAGATGCCAACATGATACAGATGAGTGAGCAGATGATTTATCTTGTGATTGGGCAAATTTTTTGCTAAACCTTTATTTTGCCAGTGGGGAGGAATATGGATCCAAAATTAAAAATATTTGATTTTAACTTAAATACCAGATTAATGTATGAAACAAGAGCAAAGAGAAATGGACCAGTAGGTTTCATTTTTTTCCTTTTTTAAAGCAATCGATATTAGCAGTCATGAAATAGGGCTACAAATTTATAATACATAATGAGATTACATGCTAAGTTTATAAATATTAAACGTGTCAGAAATGCCAAATTCCACATTTGGTCAAAGTAAGAACAATTTACAACTGTTGGGCAATTTTATTTATAAGGCACAAGAATAATAACATGTGACTTGTTCATCTGACTTTTAAACATAAAATGATATTGTCATTGTTTTAGCAGCACAAAACATGAAAAAGAGACAAATAATCAGGCTACCTATTTAACCCTTAAAAGATTTCTCTCGTCTCAATAATGAATCAGAAGCACAAACCACTTTCAATAAGACAAGAACAAAGAGGTTTGGTTTTGCTTAAATTCTGGTTTCACTATAAGTGGCACAATTTAATTTTTGCCACAAACTAAGAGAGGATATTAATGCTTTGACAATATAATCCCTTCATATACAAAATTTAATGCACTTGAAGAATTAAAAAAAATAATCATAGAAGTGGTCCATTTATCATTTGCTAAGATTTGACATTTTACACAAAGTCACCACAAAAAAATAAAGAAAAGCAAGAAAAAAGTGTTCTAATCTGAGGCATCCAGGATAGAAGAATATTTGGTATATTCATGTAGTATCACTACTTCTAGAAAAAAAAATAAATACATAAATGTATATGAGATCACTTTTGGATTGAATGTGCATTAAAAAGTTATCAAATTCATTGAAATTATTTAAAAGTTCTTTCTGAATAAAGTGAAGAAAAAAACTGACCAACAGTTTCAGGTTGATGGTGGGAAGGAAACTTTTCTAAGTGAAAAGCTACAATGGAAACAAAGGTAAAAAGCAAAGCAAGACAATATGGATAGACAAATTACAGATGCCATAGTAAGCAAGATGACACTGGTTCTCAATGCAACGACTTGAAGAAAGGATGGTAAAGAGCATCTGCAAGCTTGATTCTGTTGTCAGGCTCATACTCAAGCATCTTTTCTATGAGATCAAATAATCGATGATGTTGCACTCCTTTGTCCTTTAAATAGTACTGTAATGAAGAGAGGAAGGTACACATGACATATGACCCAAGAGATTTCAGTGTCATCAATTTTATTATTTAGCCACTGTGGCTATTAGCAAAAACTTCAATGAGAAAGAACTTATTCAAACAATGGTGTCAAAAATGGAAATCATTATATTGATTTTTTTTACTTTTACAAGCATAAAAATATAGATGTTTTTATTACTTTACAGTGCAGATTTTTTTTTTTTTTAAAAAAAAAAAGATTAATTAAAATCAAAATGGGCTTAAAAATTCAAATACCTTTTGATAATTATTTTATTTTAAATAATAAATAATCAAAATGAGTATGTATTTACTTCATGAATTAATAAATCTTACTTTATCAAATATTTAGGATAAACAAAACTGACAATGCAATCAGTAATTCTCAAATGGCATTCAATCACCACAAGAATGGTTGCCTGGGTCAGTAAGGGATCTCTGCACACAGTTTCTGGGGAGGGGAAACAAACATTGGATTTTTAAATTCTACTACAGAAACCAAAGAAAATTTCTTATTAAATCATTTGGTAAGATTTTATCAGTTTTCAGTAGGTAAGAAAATAGACTTGTAGGGTTTTTCAATTAGTACATTAAGGATACAATTTCTATTTATTTATACAACCCAAACAGCAGTTAGAAATAAGAAAATAGATACTATAATATTTTTGTAAGTTTGTTTTTCTTTTAATTTCTGGTAGGTGACAGCTCCAAAGTTACTCTCTTCAAGAGTTGCAAGAGAACTCAGTCTTAATGCAGCAGATTCAAAGGTGAGAAAATCAATTTAAAGTGTGTGTGTGTGTGTGAGAGAGAGAGAGAGAGAGACTTAACAAAAACAGTGATACTTAAGTGTGACTTAGTTGTAATATAATAAAAAATATAATTTTAGGAGGAGGAGTGGGGACTTTGAAATAGACTTTTCACAGAGTTTCTCATTTCCATTTATAGTTATTTTATGAAATTTGAGTAAATCATTGAGCAATATTTAATTTTGAACTTGTATTTTTTTAAAGTTTTTGTTTACCCAACCCGAATACAAAAGAAATTGAACAGAAAATGAAAATATATAAAAATTTCAATTAAGAATTTTACTTCCATGAAATAATGAACTCTTGAAATATTTTTTGGAAAAAGAGAAAAAAGTAAATAACCAAACAACTCCACTGAATTTGAACTGTAACTGTTTCATGTGTGTAAATACAGTAATCTCTAAGTGCTGTGCTTCAGGTAGGATAACACTACATTTATTTTGGCAACTATTTTGCCAAGTCTGACTCTTGCCTAGCCCACATTATACTACCTACCTGGCATAGCAACAACATTCAGGTAGGATATTTATAAGTCCCCATTTAAACCTGTAGATACAAAATGTTTCTAGGAGAAGTAGTAAGAGGTTGAGATTAAGGTTAACTTTACCATTTTTAATGTCAGTTTCATGAATCAATTTTTTTAAAATTAAAAATACTAAAACAGAAGAGTGTGTGTATGAGTGAGAGAGAGAAAAAAAAGGATTGGTAATAAGAGCAAGAATTAGAAAAGTGAGGTCTTAGAATCATTGTATATCGATTCATTCAGATCAATTCCTTCATCTTTGTTGTTTTGGGCATGTACCCTTTAGCCTTCCTTGGATTTGTTGAACTGATCCAAGAAAGTATGTGAAAATATTTTAATGATTTATAGCAGACAATACAAAGACACCAGCAACCCACTAAAAATAAGACTTGAGAGATAATGTAAAGCTACAAGAATTTTAAAATCATGGGTGGCTGGCTGGTTATATATATATATATATATATATATATAATATAAAAAGAGAGAGAGAGAGAGGAGGGAGTGGCAATACCTTCATATTTGCAAGTAAAAATAGAAAAAAAAAAAAAAAAATGAGAATAAGAAAACTACTAAAGTACAGCTTTACTCAAATTGGCCAAGCATGTCACCGATTGAAAAGAAAAAAAAAAAAAAAAAAAAAAGAAGAATAAAACAAAACAATGAATTTGAGACTCCAAAGACAAGCATTCTCTGGAATATAATATGACCTAAGTGGGTTAGTAAAATTAGTTTAGTTCTTATTAGAGGTCACAAGTTCAACACTTGTCTAAAGAGGAAAACTTCAAGGGCTCAAAAGGAAAAGAATGATGGGGGAGGAGGGGAGATAAATATTCTATCAGATCTAAGTTTGACATTCCAAACATATGAGATATCCAAAAGATATCTCATTTGGAAAGACATTGAAAAAGAAAAAAAAAAAAAGGTCTTGATGAAACAACGAGCAAAGATGGCAGCAAATGTGTGTGAATAAAAAGAATGTATGGTTAAGATTTGTATGGCAAAATGAGTAGCAATCTTTATATAAGAAAATAAACCAAAGCCTTTGTAGAGGTTTTCTGCTTATGTGGGTTGTCCTAAATTGAAAAATTAAAAAATTAGGAGAATGAAAACATGCAGTAGTGTTCTAGGGAGGATGTGAACAAGTTTGATACAATGAAATTTACAGATACTGAGAATTGGGCTGCAAGAGATCAAAGAATGGATGGCACAATAAAACAAAAACAGACAAAAAGGTAAACAAGAGCCTAAATATAAAATTGGAAGAAAAAAAAATTTTTTTTGAAGATTCCAAATGTTTTGGGGAAACGGGTTATTAATGAAGAAATATATAAAAAGGATGAAAAATCAATTTAAGATACTGAAGAAAACAAAAACAAAAAAACAAAACACACATTTCAGTTCCAGAGAGATACTAAAGAGAAAAACAAAAATGTATTATCTTAATGGTAAAATTGTTGTTACCAGGAGACATTCACTAAGTTATAAAACTAAATAGATTAGGCAAAAAGGAAAACTGAAATGATAGAATAAAGTCTTCCAAAATTCAATCTTAAAAAGAAAAAAGTATAAAATATCATTCAAGTGATTCATTGGACAAGCAATATGCAATTTGCTCTTCTAATGTTGTCTATTAACTTAATGACTAAAACACAGCAGTTGCTATCCCCTTCTTATTCTTATGTTAGAAAAAAAAAAATCTATGTATGTAAAAAGAAAAAAAAAAATAAGTTAAATTTTAGAAAATAGTTAATTTACTGTTACAGACTTTAAACTATAATGCAAAAAGATTGAGGTTATCTAGTGATTTTAATTAATTCTGAGTAAGTTTTCAGTTTAGTCAACCTTTGTAAAGTAAGGTTTCTAAAATGATGGTACTAAAAAGAAGTAGAAGCTAGTATAAAGTGCTTTTTAAAACATCTTTACTGTAATCAATTTTTTTTATAGATATTACTTCCTGGCACAAAATGTAATTGTGCAGTTATTTTGTTTTATTTATACACACTATGATTTTCAGTTATATAAGATTTCCATCATAATATTCATTACAAGTAATAACAATAGAAAAACTGTTGAAGACAGGTCAGCCATTTTCGTTTTTTAAACTTTCATTCAAAATTAAATTTTATGATTTTGCTTTAAAATAATTTGAAATAGTTTCAATGAATACATAAATTTTTATTAGCTGTCTCAGCATTTGAAATTTTTCACTACAGCCTTTACCATTGATTGGTAATTTGAGTAATGTTTGATTTTCCAAACTGAAATTTTTGAAGTACTTTTTCACTATTATTTTAAAATAGTGAAAAAGTACTTCAAAAATTTCAGATTTTCTATTACTTGTAGCTATGTATTCCAATATGACAGTTTGAAGTCATACAAGTAAAACA